TATTACAAGATAGAATAGACAATCATTACTAGGATTTATCTCTTTGTTGGATACATAAGTCTTAAAAGGTATAAACAATAGCTAATTTGATTATATTCATTTTAATAGTGAATAGAAACCTTAAATTCTTCTTATCTAAGTGTTCTAATAACATTAATGTATAAATAACCTTATATTTAAAATTCGAGGTTTGGCTGAGTTATGACTATGTTATGGCTGAGTTATAATCATGTTACGGCTGATTTATACGTTAGATATGGCTGATTTATGATTTTGATATTCAAATTCGGGGTATGGCTGAGTTATAGTTACGTTCCGTCTGAGGTATAACATAACGTTACGACTGAGTTATATAATGAGGTTTGGTTGACTTATCGTAAATTAAATTCGTGGTTTGGCCGAGTTAATTCCAGACGACGTCGTTTACTTCTTTCTTCTCCCTTATAGTCATAATCGAGCGATCAGATTGGGGATTTAGGGTTCTTATTGATTTATGGGATTCACATCCGATTTCTTGGTTTATCTTCGATTAAAGAATTCTACTTCTCAATTTTAATATGAGCGACTACTCTTCGAGTACATATCGTTCAGCACATGGTGCTTACCCTCCAGATCTTCCGACGAATTGCGGATGTTGGTGTGGTCACGATATCATCACATACATATCGAAGACAAAGGAAAACCCTTACCGTATCTTCTATAGATGCTCGATTGCTTTGAAGGTACAAATTTTCATTTAATTTTTTTATTGTTAACATATGGGTATCGATGTTGGTTTTTGTTAATTAGAGGCCGAATGAGTCGCATTTCTTCAAATGGGTTGATGAGGTATCGGTTGAAGAAATTAAGATGGTCGACGCAAAGGTACAGAGAATAGAAGAAGATGTGACGGACTTAAGGCATCAACATACTCAAAATTTAGATCTCCAAAAAGAAATGTTTGACAAGCTTGAGGAAGAACTGAGTAAGAAGCTTGAAGAAAAATTGATGAAGAAGATTGAGGAAGATATGAGTAAGACAGCTTTGAAGACAATTTGTCTACTCTCTGTAATAGGAATCGCAATTGCATGGTTATGGGAGAGAATATAATTGTTGTTTCATGATGTTTAGACTGATTATGTTGTAATTTGTGTTGTTTAAGATTTCTTTTCATGTTAAATGAGAAATAGGGTATGGCTGACTTATAATTATGTGATGGCTAAGTTAATGTGTTCAAGTTACGGCTGAGTTAAGAGTATAGTTATAATTTATAATTAGCAATTATATAAGTATATAATGGATATGACATATAATAAATATATATTACCAGCAAATATGCATGTTAAGATTGTTAATTTTGAAAAGAAAATGGGAAATTTACACAATTTCATCCAATTCAAATTATGTAGTGTTGGTTATGAATAGAAACTTGTTCTTGTGTGATAGTTTTTGAAATGTTACCAACAAAGTCTAAATTATTGATGAATAATATGGTAACATGATTGTATCATATTTAAACCTAACATTTATGTGATTTAAGTGATTTCATAACTTGATTATAACTAAAAATTGAGATACCGCATATTTAGGGTATGGCTGACTTATACTACGCTATGGCTGAGTTATAGATAACATTACGGCTGATTTATAGATAACATTACGGTTGAGTTATCAGTAACCTATTAATTACATGATTCCGTTACGGCTGAGTTATAACAAGAAATTGACATAACGCATATTTGGGGTATGGCTGACTTATACTATGTTATGGCTGAGTTATGAATAACATTACGGCTGAGTTATCAACAACCTATTATTTACGAGATTCCGTTACGGCTGAGTTATTGATAACATTACTACTGAGTTATATGTCTGTTAAAATGGCTAAAATGAAGAAAAATTGATTCAAAAGATAAGATATATGTTTGGGATTACAAAGAAGTCCAAAAGAAGTTCAGAAAGCACAAACAATATTCAAAAGCAGAGAGATTGAGAACACATAGGAAACAACATTGAAAACATTCAAAAGCAAATAACTGTAGAAGTTCAGCAAAAATAGTCCCAGCAAAGATCGTCCATACCAAGTTGTTGGAACATATGGACAATTTTCTCCCAAACCATTGGCTTCAACCACTCGGGCTTATCTTTACCTCGGATCCAGCACGTCCTAATCCTACGCATATTCGACATGAAAATGCAATGCGCATCTTTATTAAAGTGTGTC